TTAGCCACGTCGTTATTCGTATACGTTGCGTGCCTCTTGGTTTATGGGACCAAATGTCGTCCCCTCCCCTCCCCCCTCCCCCGTGACACTTCATATTCTCATAGAGAAATTGCAAGCGTATGTATACAATTGGTAGCAAAAGTATCATTCGGCCATTTCTGAGCATTTCATTTTTTCACGATCACTTCTATTTTTCACGATATTAGGATTTTCAATATAGGATACTTCGAATTTGAGTATTCGTAATAAATATGGGATATATTTCCAATAATTTAGATTTAGTAGATTTGTGTAACGAAAATTGTGACATGTTATATATTGTCGCTTTACATTTAACTGGTTTTGATGATATCTTTTTTTTTTTATTTCTTTAAATCTAAATTCTATAATGAATCGAATAATCTGAAGAAGCGTGTAAGAAAAGTTTTATAGTTCGAGGAATCATGAGAGAAAGCTCGAATAGTAACTACTCGTAACAAATATTTATAATAAGAATAAATATCGAATTACTTCCTTCTTGATCGATGCACAATTTTAAGATGTTGTAACAAATTATATGTTGGCCAATTATTTTTGTGTATCAACTGTAGCTGACCTTATGTTTAAAATAGTTTCGTCCATCAAACGTTCAAACCAATCAGAAATATCATTTCGTCGAGACGTTTTGGTTTAACGTTGCATTCTCAAAGAAGTTTACTTTCGTTGAACTTGACATCAGGCAGACAAGCGTTAAAGCTGACTATCGAATTATGCAAGAAGCCAGATACATAGAGATGCATGTTAAAATTATATATTTGATTTTCAAGTTTCGATATGTGAAAACGAAACAAAATCGCTTTTTGAGAAAAGTCAAAATTTTATTATAATGTTGCAAAACCTGTACAATTAAATTTTCTTCTGTCAAATGTGAACTAAGTTTCACGAGCTGGTGCTTTTTCAAAGAAGCTATCTTCTCGTATATAATTGATTTAGATAAACTATTCTTGAAGATTAAAATTAATAATTTTTTTTGAGAAGATGTTAATTATTCGATTGAAATCAGATGACGAGTGTTTCGTTATTGAATTGTTTGGAAGATAGATGCGTGCAGAAAGATTGTTAGATTGATATTGATATGGGTATACAAAATTTTCCATGATGATACATATATATGACATAAAGAATAACAATGACTAAAATAAATATGAGATGATTGATGTCGCATTACAAGATTGTCGTTTTGAATGAGATGATACAAGATTGTTGTGCTGAACACAGCTTTAGACGTATTCCTCTGTCTGATGTGTGATATAGAGTTTAGGAATTGAATTACATAAGATTTCGAAGTTTTATTTTATGTTTGTTGGAAATGTAGATTAATTATAATTATAATTGGTTTTCCGAATTTTCTTGGGGGAATAATTTTATCTATTTATTTAATTCGTATCATGTTTCAAATTTACAAAGAAATTTTAATTTTTTATACAAAAAATATTAATCAACGACGATAACGTATTGAAATCTAACAAAATCAAATTTATATTTTTGTATCTTTCTCTTCCTGTTTCTGTTCTTTTTTTTCTTTTTTCTCTATAAAGAAAACTATTTTGGAAAAGTGAAATTATAGTCATTTCAAAAGTTTTATGTTCATCATCGTAATTATAGAATGTATCAGCATGTACAATCTTAAAACCTTTTATCCTTAAAATGTACATATATTTATATGATTTGATCAGAAGTGTGTATAATATGTATATTTCAATATTTCAATATTTGTAAGTAACAATTTGAACCCTCAACTGGAAACGATATTTATTATATTTGCGATATAATATCAATATATCCAATGAAACTTTATTAATGACGCAGATAAGTTATTCGTTCAAACGTTTATATTACTTTTTAAGATCCATTACGATGAACAGAGCTCTCAATGTTTGCATAAATTTCCTAGGAATCATAATTTTAAATAAAACGTTTCGAATAAAGGAAACATCGAAACTCGCTCCTTCAATTCTTCCCTTCCAGGAGAACGAATTTACAGAAGACAATTTACCAAAGTACCAATTAAGTTGAGGGTTGATCGATTAGCGAAGATAATATTTGCCAAACTGAATGATAAGGGGATGATCTCGCTTTCGATTCTCGCTCTAGATAGGTGTAAATATTTTTCTACCTGCATCGAGATTAAACGAACTAGCACGCCACTAGCTTTTATGAGTTTTATCGATACACGTGTGCTGCTTTTGTCGGTGACACGCGACTGATAACACAAGTTCGTGAGGGGTAACGATTTTCGATCGCGCGTGACGATAAGATATTACTCATCCATAAGAAGCGAGGCGAATTGATTGCGAATATTAGACGCAATTGTGACGTGTTCCCCATCTGTCGAACACTCCATTGACGTATAGCGTAATTTTAGTATGGTGATGCAACTTGAATAGCGAGAACAGTCCCTTCTCATCGAAAACGAAGCCGATTTTTTCGGATAATTCTATCCGAAAGGTTGGAGAGAGGATGCTTATCTCTCTCTCTTTCTCTGATTTCTCTCTCTTTTTCACGTCTCCATCTTTTTCGATTCCTGAAGTTCTTCGAAGGAAGGAGAAATTGACGCAGTTTAAGAGTTTTCTCGTCGAATTATTTCGCGAATTTTTCTCGATTCCTGGTCGAAATCTCGAGCACGAAAATATCGTTCGAATATTCGTTTGAAATTCATTCATCGTCTCAGGACGTTTGCCGTTTCATCAACATATCGTGTTTAAATATTTGGATAAATTAAAGAAGGATAATAATCGGTTAAAATGGATATATAATCTATTATATGCATATCGCACTCTTATACAAAAGTAGAAGATACGATTGGGAAAACGTGTTTTTCGAATTGTCACTATATGAAAGTTTAGGGTTCCCTAGGATTATAAAGTGAAAATAAAGAAAAATGAGATACTAGATATTGTTTGATGAGCATCATTCTTGATTTCATTTTTGAGAATGAATATGTTTACGCATTTGTAAGAAATTTAAGAGTGTATACATGTACAAAATGCATATCTATCTAGAAAAAATGTTGCAAGTTTTCAATTTGAAAAGATTGTACGGAATTACTTAGAAAATCTCTATGAAGATTTAAGTACGAACGAATCATTTTTGTTTCATTTTTGAAAAATAATCCGCTTTATCCCTGAATCTTTCCTATAAAATATCCGCAGTGCAATATTTAATATGCGAGAAAAACAAAATTTTTTTTAAATTCCACTTTTTATCATCTTGAAAATATGAATTTGCATAAGCATATACTAGTTGTAATATTCAAATAATAATTTTTCGAAAACATGTTATATCTAAGTTGAATCACTAACGAATCTTAAAAATCTGAAATATTATGATCTTTCATTCGATTATTTCATATACTATTGTAAAATCTAGAATTTTCTACTTTGAAGGTTCCTCGTTTTAGAAAAAATTGGAAACGATCGGTTAATCGATTTCTTTGGATATTTTTTATATGCTTGAACTAATATAATCGTACTTTTTTTTTTTCGATATCCGAGTACTATGAGACAGGGTTATGTTCCATATACAAGTATATGAAAGCCTTTTGTACATAGGCAAAGTAGTTAGCCTTGATGAAGTTCGTTGCTTTTCCGTACGCAATGCCTCGACCTCTGAAGGCTACCTGCATTCATTAAGCGTTCAGCCGCAGAATTTTTTTGTCGCCGCCAACAGACGAAGCCGTTTCACTGGCCTCGTTAATCTTTCCTTCCAAATGTGGAGACAAGAAAGGGCAACCCGTTCGACAATTGATATTTTCGAACGTCGTTGCTCTTTGTTCCTCTCTGCCAGATGCAAAGATGGAAATCCATTGGAATTTTATCGTCACTGACGATTGTGTTTGAAATTACTCGCGTTTATTCTTTTATTTAATCAATAAAATAAATTATCTCGTTGTTCGATCTTATTTCTCTATAATTTTGTCTTCTTTCCACAATCTTTCAAATTTGAAAAAGCAACTGTATTGAAACTCAGTTTTTTCGTTGATTATTCGAAGAAACGAAGAACAAAATAAAATATATTTTTCAAAGGAATTCATGTATTATATTATATTAAAATTATCAATGAAATTGATTAATTTCAAATTTGTTGTACTTTTAATTTTATTTTCGTAATATCTTAATTCTAATTATTTGTGTAATACATTTAAGTGTATTATAGGTAGTTCTAATGCTAAAAGGGATTATTATCATTATCTTTCAGATTGATTGAAGAAATAAGATATTCTAATGTCTCAAATTATGTGCTTTAATTCGAGCGGTAGATCTATTCGTTAGTTTTTATAATCCTATGCATCGACGTCGTGTCTGGTCCCCAGATGCGACACTCGCTATCGAATAACAATTTCTGCCGGCAGCTTTAGATATTGGCTCTTTTGCGTTTTAGTCTCAATCGATCCATCGACACTTTGCATAGAGTGCTCCGCCAGTTTCTCATCTAACGATAAATCAATTAGAGGGAACATCAGACGCAGAACATTAAGCGAGCAATTTTCCAGTTCATCATTGTGTCACCTCTCGAACGTCTCCCATCGAGACGTTCAGATCATCCTTTCCATTTTCTTCCTCATTTAATATTCCTCTCCATTGAAATAGCATTCGTTAACCTCTTGACTTTCAAATCTTTTTCTTTCGTTGAAAACGTCGATGAAAATTTTTTTTACAACAATTAATAACGAAAATAAATGTTATGTAATTATTCCATAAGTATTTTTATTGATATTGAACAGATTGTAGATTTTTGTACATATTTTTCTTCTTAATATTAATTTTATTTGCATTTGTAATAATTATAAATAAGATTAATTAATGTTAATAATAAAACTTCTTTTGTAGAAAATTTTTTCAAATAAACAATAAAAATTTGTCAAACAAACATGAGAAATTTTTTTATATAATATCATAGCACAAATTTTATATAAGTAAGTTTACATAATAAAATTACTAGTATCTTGTAAATACTATATTTTGAACAACACGATATATTTTCTACGTATATATATATATATTAATTGAATATCCAAATTTATTTTTAGCTTCACTAAAAATCTGCAATCTAAAAATATCGTAATTTTCGAATCCATAGAAATTACAATGACGAAAATAATTAATTAATTATAATACCACGTGTCTTTATTATATTCTTAACGAAGCATTGTAATTAAGGGGTTAAAATATGTCCAAGGATAATCGTGCATATATATATATATATCCATCGTTCAATGTGAAAAATGACTCAAGTTTCCAACCATCCGACGGTTCAATGATTCGAGCAATGAATTTCGTTACACGAGCTTTCTCAGATATAAAATGATCGAAGGTTGTTCGATCGGAAACTTTGTAATAGGTTAACGAACGAAATCATGAATGTCTGGTAATCATATTCCCGCACATGGCTGTTAGTTCGATGTACTTAAATGTTTCGAGGACATGTTGCTCAATGCAAATGAAAATGATTCATCGAGACCCATCTCGAAAGCTGTACTTCACACCATGGCGCACGTATTTATGATTCACATTGAAATTCGTACTACGAATTCGTTCGTGCAATTTTGTTTCAACAAGATTTTTCGTTGATTTACGTGTCAACGTTACAATCAATCTAATTTTAAAAAGAAAAACGATAATTGTTTAAGTTAGGACTCGATTTATATGTACAGAATATTCTAATTTCTCAATTTGATATCAATTCGATATAGATTTCCCTCAGTTTCGATCAGTTTTTCTTTAGGCGTTGGGAGAAATCTGATGGAGATCTCGTTTATGAGGTCAAGGTGTTTTAATTTAGGAGAAGGACTTTGATTAACCCCGAGATGCTCAATTTCCTTTGTATTTTTTTTGCATCCTTTGCATTGATTCCAATTTTGGCGTTTGTAATTAGTGCACGCATTATGTAAAATGATTATTATTTTTAGATCAAACGAGACAACACGAGAAAAATTCAGGATAATTAATAATTAAGATAATAAAATTTTCTCTTTAATCTTGAGACTTAAAGATTGATTAATTCTTATAGCATAAATCTTGAAGCTCTTCGATTGGTTATATTCACGAAAAACTTCTAAAAAGTCCATACATATAATAAAAAATGTTTTATATTATAACAGATTGTATATCACAAATATGGATTTTTTAATTTGAGCAATAACTCTTTTGAAAAACTATTTATTGAATCCTAAATTTAAAGATACTAGATCTATCTTTGTATCATAAGAAAGAATTTTACTTGAGTATAATTCATTGGATATATATTAGATTCTTAGTAATTTTCTTTTAATTTTTTTAGTAATTTTTTTTTTTTAAATTTCCCAAAGTGAAAATCTCGTTCTCAAGAAGAAACTATCGTTTATAATATGAATGTAATTTTAAGGCTGTCGAAACTAATCATTGTTGATTTTTCATCTGGATTTTCCTCGGATCTTTATTTGAAAAGAAAACGATGATCTTGATAAATGGTTTCGGTTTAATAACGCGGTTTAATAATATTTCTCAATAGATGAATTCATTTTTCTTCATCTCGACATTCTCATTGTTACTTAGCTTTAGGGAATTCTTACATTAACATATCTTAATTTTATCGAGTACTACTGTTATTATACGAGTTATTCAATAGTACTCACTTTAGAGCTTGCCATTAATTCTGGAAACTTGAGAAGTTTCTTCTCAAAGAATATTATGTTTATATCACGTATTTGAATCCATTATTCTCTCGTATCTATTTTTTCTTTCCCCTCTTCAATCAAATTTTTAGAAATCTTCTTCAGATAAAACATCCGTACGTGGTTCTGAATAAAGCGGGTACTATTGTAATTGTAATCGTATATGTAAAAAGATACAAAAATTCATAGAATGTAATTATAATCATTACCTTTGGTCTATCAGTGGCATATGAGCTGTTGCTTGTAACAAAAATCTCATTATCACAGTGAGTGGAGAATCTCAGGTGTCAGGGCAGGGACGAAACAGTCCTTCCACCGTGTCACACATCCAATTTACTTTTTTATGCTCTTGTACATGTAATACACATATACATATATATGAATATAATTCATTAAATAAGCGTACGTAACACTAAAATGAAAGAAGATTTTTGTTGTATTGCTCCTATTTCTAGTCTTGATGGGATATTAAGGATTGAAGCGAACCTTGTGAACCTCGAATAGATGTAATGCGTATTTAAATAGGAAATTATGTATAATACCTCGGAGAGGATTACACCGTCCAAGATCTTTCGAATTGTGAAAAAGAATTAATTACCAACAGACGGTAAAAAGAAATTTTTGAATTAATTAGAAATAATAATATTTCTAATTATATTACGAATTATTTTGAGAGAGATAGTTTGTAATATAATGCAATCATTTTATTTTGAAGAATAATGATTATCACTTGAAACAGGACCTCGATTAACCGATTTAATCGAGCATTTCGGATAATCGAGATCTAGGGAAAAGTTATTAGATCATTCTGAAAGTTTTCATAGTTATAAACTATTTTCATTAGAAATTAATATTTGAAATAGTTTATTTGAAACAGTTTTTTATAATAATTGGTTGACGATCAATTAAAGAAATATAGGAAAGATGAATGAATGAATAAAAGAAATGATTATAAAATATATTTAATAATATAACGATAATATAATAATATGTGCAAATATAATAAAAATTATGGAAACTTTCAGGATGATTCAATATTAAAAATAAATTTCATGTATAAAATAAGACAAATAAGTGCATTTTTATTCATAATCATGTTTAGATGTATCTGTTCATATTTTTTTTAACTTGTGATAGTTTTTGTTTTATATGAGATTCTCGATAATCGATCGATCTGATCGTAAATAATTGATTGATCGAGGTTCTACTTTATTAATAATTAGTTATTATTATTATTAATGAAATTGAAATTTTACGACTTAAAAAAATTTTACGAGAATTTCCAAAAGATTACTTTTAAAATTTACTCGATAGCAGTAATCAAGAGAGAAATATTATTTATTCTATATAACTTGATCACGTACCAAATTTATATCTCTTCGAGGTATTTATTCGTGATAACGAGATAATTAGGTACGAGTGAAGGTATATATATTTGTCGAATGTCATAGACAATCGAATTTTAAAGATCGATGCGAGCGATGATAACTAGTGCCCTCTTTAGCATCCAAATTTTTTTGGCGCCCATTTTAAATATACCTGAAATAGAATCTTTGAATGAACGTTAATATATCTCAACATTGATTTACACGAATCCTCGTATCTTAGTATCTTATATTAAAAATCTTTTTCTTTTTTCTCATTTTCGAAAATTTTCGAATTCTCACAAGCCATTCAAATCCAGATTCTGAACTGTGAGATGTTAAAGTGGACACTACTGTATATCGTGCGTGTTTTGCTGGTCAAAGTAACGAGTCTTTATTAGAAAATAATCATATATATGTGTAAGAATGAAGAATGCGTGTGCAGAATGGAAGATTCATGACGGATAGCTTCTGCCACTGTTCGTAATCATCTGTTATATCTAGTTATTTCTCGCCATCGATAACGTGCATCGGATTCACTTCTCGATCGTTAACAAACACGATGACGTAACCAGAAGATAAAGTCTCTTTAGTAATTTCTGTGTTATCCAACACGATGAGAAGTTTTATAGAACGGCAGTTAGATTATGTAGATGGCTGTTGAAAAGATATCCTTTCAAGAATAGTTAGCCACTCGATTAATCTTCATCTATCTTTGCTTTTACCGATTCAACCTACGGTTCCTTCGAAACTGAAAGCAATTTTGTTATACAGTTTGATCTTGTAGATCTTGTTAATACAGGAGAAATATGTGCATGAATATTCAACCCTTTTAATGGTAAATAATTTTAACATCGATCTCTCTTGAACTTTATTTTATATCTGATTTTAAATTATATATATATATATTTTATAAATATTAAATTATTTATTGAATTTGTAAAATTTATATAGGTTATTTTAAATTGGTCACACCGTTAAATGGGTTATATTAATGTATATTCGATGACTGGACATAAAAAAGAACCGTAAATGTCATAATAAATTGTATCGTGTAGATTTCCATCTTCCATGATATAACACACAATTTTTTCTTCATCCGTAATAAGATCTTAATCTGATAATGTACAAAGCAAATTTTGATATATTTTGTTAATAAATTTTTAAGAATTTTAATACATCCAATTTTCTTTATGTCCAGTCTTCCATCGTTATTCGTAATATAATACATACGTAAATACGGGAATAATAAAATTTTTGCTAAAAAGAAAAAAAAAAACAATTTTAAACAATCAATTTTACAAATTTTCTTCTATCAAAAATAACAGAGATAGAAAAATATTTTCGAAAGGATATCTCTTTTGCACCAAAATATCTCGGCCGTTTAAAATCTCGCGTTATCAAAAGTTCGAGGGATCGTCGTTCTTCGAGAATTTCAGGGTCGTGTCCTCGAATCCTGCGAACGTTCGATTATACAGCCCTCGTTAATTAACTGTTTCCCGTGAAAATTAATTGGAAACGTTCGACGAAAATTAATTAGCTCGGATCGGGTATCTGGAACATCATCTGATTGTATCGTTGTACACGTATCGAGCGTTTTACTCGCTTGCACACTGCTGGACCCTTTCTGACTTGTCTGTATATATTACATATATATATATATATATATATATATATGTCCTGTGATCGAGATATATATTCATGCACATGGGGACATATACATATGCGTAGTTGGAAAGAATAATCCAGAAAGAATTGGAGAACTCGAAGCGTTCAACAGGGAGTTGTGTACAAGTAGGCTTATGCTGCGATGCGAATGAAATATCGGGTCGTTGGCATATCAAGGATTTTTCTTTCGCTACTTCACTGTTCGATAGAGGATGCGTGTTTATCGTAAACGACACGAGAATCCACTCTCTTCGTCTCGTTCGTGGTTTCTGCTATCTTTCGAGATTGGTTAAAACGGGAGGAACATATGGAAAATAAGAAAGAAGCGGAAATGCAAGAGAGCAAGAGAGGGAAAAGCGAGCCATGTAGCCTTAAGCCATGTGTCCTCGCTGAAGCAACAACGAGAAACTTTTTGGTGCACTGGTAACACGTTTTTCGAGACACGTTTTATTGCGCTGACACTGAAGCAATATAATTGGAGGAAGTTTTATTTTAGTTTTGAAGGTTGCACTAATGATCAGAAGTTTTAGAATCATTTTTTACTCTTATGTCGAGTCTTATTCTAATTTCGTTCGAAAAAAAAAATTGTTAAATCTATTAAATCTCCATACCATTGATTCCAAACTTTTGATCAGCAATATATATATATATATATATATATTCGCTTCTACCAAGAAATGTAAAGTAACGATTTCAGCTCCTCTCTCGTTGCTGACGCGGATTTCCTTTGATATTTTATTGCAAGACGAAGCAAGTTGCAATAAAATCGTACGATAAAATATATTCAGCAAAATATTTCCCCCTTCTCCCCTCGTCATCGTTGTTGGTTCATCGAGGACACTGCCTGGAAATCAACAATGTAGTAGTAAACGATCGCGAAATCCGCGACACCAGATAGCCACGCTTGTATTGATTTTTCCGTTAGTCATGGACGTATAAGAGAGAGTGTCGTTCACCCGCCTCGTCCAGGAAATTCAGAGGAATAACGTTATCGACACGTTATCGATAATTTCGAAATTCGAATTTATACGATCGTAACAATTTTCCCAGAGAAAGGTGATTCCCCGCTATACTATATAGTTTCCTAGTGTATTTCATCATACGCCGATCCGAGGCGTGCGTATACACATAATAGAGGAAATCGGTAATTCCCTTTTGCGTCGATTGTCGAAAATGTAGGACGAAGAAACGACGAACACAAACGAGTGGAAAACGAGAGGCGTGTCCGATCGATCGACGATTTCACCGAGCTCCCCGCGTCCCGAACTTGGACGATCGGCGATTTCGACGCTGTCGCTGAGGGAGAGGGAAATTGCGAGCGTCCTTTCCTTTTGTCACGAACTCGAAACGCCAGCCGAGATTGAACACGACAGTTTCGAGATTTGCCCCCCCTCCTCCGCATTAGGGCTGCTATTAGGGTATTACGTAGGATTAGCCGGCGATACTCGAGTTCCTGTCGATGTCCGACCAATGGAAATTCGCCTCGATTAATCACCGTGTATAATAACGGTGTCGAATTTCGAGTCGGGATTTCGAACGCCGAACGTTTTTCAAATTTCCCGCCGAGAAGCTTTCCGCGCCTCGTGGTACGCGAAAGACGTGTCGTTTTTTTTTATCGTTGATTGGATGTTGAATCGACGACTCGTTTACCACGGATGCACCAATCAAATCCCCCTTACGTACCTTTTCTTATAATAATAAGTAGGCTGAAAAAGATAATAATGATTCGCGGCCGATTCGAAATTAACGATTCGCGTCGCGATTCCTCCTCCTACGTATCGATGATTTTCGTGGCAAGTTTTTATCCGTTTACAAACGGATGAAATACGATAGAATATACATGCATACGTATATTGTGCGTCGAGAATAGCCACGATTATTATTATTATTATTATTATTATTATTATTATTATTATAAAGATAGAAAAAAGAAAGGATGAATAAATTAATTATTTGTTCGTTGATGAATTGTTGCGCCAAAGTATAAGTACGTACGAGTGAAGTAATTTATCTGTATCGTGTGTAATAAGGGATATACGATAGAGAGATCCTCTTGTGAATATAAAAATATGTTTGAACTGAAAGAGGATAAGAAAGAGAAGCGAGGAGGAAACGAGGGGGAAAGGGAGGGTGGGTCAAGGGGAAGAAAATCGATATCGTCACTATTTTGCATCAGGAGTATTGTAAAAAAAAAAAAAAAGAAACGAGGAATACCTTTTCCTCGACTTGTGATCATTTATGTTTGTAAATTGTAGCCAACTTACGATTCCTATAAATACGATGATGTATGATGTTAGATACTTCGAGAAACGGACTTGTATTATTTTATCTTAGCACTCATTGATGAAATATAACTAATCTCATTTTTTGTAAATATTAATTTAAAAAAAAATAAATCTTATTGTGTAAAGATTGTATAATTTAAATATCGTTTATGTTTTATTAATTTTTCTCAAGACAAATCGTTACTGCACGTATTCCTTCGATCCTCTATTTCTCTCTCTCTCTCTCTCTGTCTGTCTGTCTGTCTGTCTATCTCTCTCTCTCTCTCTCTCTATTACGCTTTCTCATTTTGTTTTTATTTATTCATTTTTTTTCTCTTTCCTCTTTGATTCGTCGATGGCGCATGAAATTTTTTTCTATTCCATTTCGTGTATGCATGGAAAAGGAAAAAGAAGAAAGAAAAGAGAAAAAAAAAATTATTATCATGCACATAGCGTGCTATTTCTTCTGTAAATAGTGGCGGATGCGTGAGAAAAATGGATATTTGTTTGTAAAATAAAACTAATTTACACGAAAAAAACATTCACATTTTCGTTTTCATCCAAATGTAACTTTATACTCTTTCTCTTCACTCTTTTTTTTTCTTTCTTTTTTTTTTTTTCCTTAATATTTCGTGAACTTTTTATTTTCACAGAAAGAAAAGAATAGAGAAATGCGTACAATATTTGAATTTGATTTGATTACGATTATATACGATTATATATTTAATATCTTATATATTTAATATTTTATGATTAAAAAGAACTATTTGCAAATTATAATTATTCATTTTTTTTATTATTATTTAAATACAAATATTTTTCTTATCAATTTTGAATCATTTTAATATTAATATTTTAAAGGAAATATTTTTATATAAATTTGGTATACACGTTTTTTTAATTTATGTAATCAAAATATAAAATTTGAAAACGAAATTAAAGAACTTGAAAAACAAGAAAATTATCGTGTCGATATTCATAAACAATTCGTTTAAGTCGTTATATTTCATCGCGCATGTTTCCTTCTGTTCAATTCTGTTAAGAATTGCACTTTACTCATAAAAGACGAACAAATGCATTGTTGTGTTACATAATATACGTAATGTCGTTATTTTCAGTAATTATAGTTACTAAGTTATCGTTAACTTTGAATTGACCGTACATATTTCTAATTTTTTTTCTTTTTTAGATTTTAAAAATTGATCGTCTAAATTTTTTTTTTAAATTTTTGAATTTTCATTGTTAACAAAAAAAAAAGAACATATTGTTATGGAAATATCCATTGATTCGAAGTGAAGTTACAAACATCCATTCGATTATGATTTTTCAAATATTTCTAATTTATTATTAATAACAATTTAATTCGTTTTTTTTAAATTTTTGTTCAAACTACCACATAATTGTAAGAAATGTTTAAATTTTCGTAAATTGAATATACGTATTTCTAATTTTTTCTTCTTGATCTATTCGAAAAAGATTGATTTACTTTCGATAACTTATAAATTTCTTTTTTCAATTTTTATCAGAGATTCAAAGATGATGTTTTAAAAAGTCGTTGATAAAAGAGAAAAGAATGTTGTCCTAAAAATAGCTTGAAACGAAGTAATACAATTACTTACGAATATCCATTCGTGTGATTTATGAATGATCAATAATAATCGTGCTAATATCGTTATAACATTGCGGTTGTCATTGATACCGGATGCTAAATCTTGACTTTTCGTGGTCTATATTGGGATTATGATTGAACATCAGGATACCTGGAATAAACCAGTGATTCTCAAAGCGAGGATCAGATTGGGATTACAATCTAATTTACCTTGATTCAAAATTGACCATCGTAAATTAATTCTGAGATGAGATCTTTCGTCGTGTCCAAAGAAGAGCGTTGGAAGTTTTTTAACGTTTCACCGCCATTGCAGTTCTTTTTTAACGTATGTGAAAATTCTGGCATTCGTCCTGATATTATGCGATGAAAAACTATCCGCAATGCTGAAGAAACATTTTTTCCCCTTAAAAAAGAGAAAGAGAAAAGTCAATATCAATTATATATAAATATTTAAATTATGGAAATTTTAATAACATTATAATTTAGACTATTTGTTTATATTTTAATAATTTTTTTCTTAACATATTGTCTCATCGCTTTTTAAATAATTTTGTTCTTTTAAAATTAAAATATATAATATCAAAGTATTCAATTTTCTTCTCATACTTTTTAAGACAAATGAAAAACATTCTTCACTTCTTATAAATATCTTCAATCGCGAGAGATATTTTCAGATCGATTTTCCCATCGAAAAAATTCCTCAAGAGCAAATGGCAAAATAAATTTCCTTTCTCGGAGAATTACCTGTAAAAATGAAACGTAGGATGAAATATCACGCACGTTTATTAAAGCTCTGTTATTGGCACTTGTTCGAACGATCGCAAATTGCTTGGTACATTCTTATATAGTGGACAAATTTACACCGTTTAATGTTGCAACCGTGGTCGATCCGAGAATGTGTATATATGTATACACACACATATATATATATATATATATATATACACATGTACAAACATTGTGCCACAGCTTCAAATTGATGGCGCCAGTGTATTAGAGCGGGTATAATGATGACTGCGCGCGGTGCTGGACGATAAATTTTAGAAAATCCTCGAAATAGAATGGCGGCCGAGAGGAGTGGCTCTGTGTGAAAAAGCCAACGGCACGACCTTGGCTCATCTATAGATTGTTGCTGCGTCTAAATTCGTACTCCACTCCCGGTGTGCACGAACAATTATAATGTTACCGCAACGATACATCGTCCAACGATGCTCTAAAAGCACAAAGAAGCATTTACAGAATTGGGCAAGTGGCTCTTCGTGTCTTCGTGTCACGAAAGAAATGATTATAAACTCGTTACCTCGTGTGTTTTTGGTTATGCATATAATAAAGTGGAATCGAATTCTAAACTATAAGCAATTATTCACGATGATTTCTGTTTAGAGACTGGTGGTTATTTTTATCTTTAAATTATTTAGGATAAAAATAGAGATTAATCCTTAAGAAAATTGGTTTTTCGATCGATAGTTCCTCTATGTTATTCGAGAAGAAATTTATCGAATTGGTATCCAATTCCCGAAAAGAGAACAGTAGTAAGAAATGGTTCTGTTCAGGCAAACGTTTGTATGCAAGTAAGTACGATTATTTATAGAGCAATTTCGAGATAAACGTCGTTTCTAAAAATATTTCAAATATATCGATATTTTAAGAGTATTGAATAATGTTGAATACTTTGTCGATTGATGCGTTAATTATCTTTTCTAAATAATGAAGTTAAGCAATAATGAACTTAAATCGAAAGATTGATCTTTAATTATAATATATCCTGTTTAAAATTTTCAAAATATTCGAGGGATCTCATGTTTTTCTCATTTTCTTCACTATCTTTGAGTAGGAATAAATAAAGGTGCGTGGAATTCCATCAACTCACGTTGATAAAAATAAAAATTTTAGACAACGCGTTAAGAAAGGCAGTAAATGATCAAAGCGTCTGTATTTTCTGTCTGTTACCGCTGTCGTTTCATTACGCTGACTCTGTTATAAAACGTTCGCGGATCGCACAGTGTATCATTGCACTGGAAAGCGGAGGGTATCGGGTTTCTACACGAGAAGTGTAATGTTGTACGACGTTGCGAGCCAGGTAGATGGCTCGAGGAGTGGAAACTTGGGACGCTTGACTAATAATTTATCGCGACACGTATATTTTATTCTCCACGAGGAACACGTGATTTATTACGTCCGCCGATTTAATTTGATAACGAGCGGTTCTCGATTTCCGCGATGATCGTAAAATGAAAAAACGGAAGTCAAGCTCGAAGAGGTTGAAGAGATTGGAAGGTTACGCCTGTTATCTGTTTGATGGGCGTCAGATGGCTCTCCCCACTTCCCCACCGTGTTATCGCGCGAATTTGCATTATCTTCTCTAGGTTTTTTGCATAATATTTGTATACGATGATTCACGTACATCTTGAATCGAATTAAATCGTATCGAAGGAGAAGAAAATTTAATACGCGCGCGTGTGGACGAGAAAATATTTATCGACGGAGCTGATGGAATTATTTCTTCTTCTTCTTTTTTTTTTTTTCCTTAAGAAATGAAGATACTTTCATCGATAGCCCTTCCTCTCGATAATAAAGAGAGAAAATAAACGTTTTATAAACGTGTTCAATAAACTTTTGAGTCACGTTTTCTATGTATGACATTTATTAGACATTAAAAGATAATCGTCCTCCTCGATCGAACAATGAAAAGATGTTAAGAATTTTTACTTTAAGTCTTTTATTAACGTTCGTCTGTTCGATTCTCTGCCCAAGAAATGATTTCTTTCGATATTTTTCGTATAATTTTTTAATTCTTCGAATTTTATTCGGATTTTTATTCGAAGATGACAAATTAAATTTCCTTGCAATTTCAACGGTTTGTCACGTGTTTACCGCCGTAACGCAAAAAGGGAAATTATACTCAACTAGGTTGAGTCCTGAAAATACAACGCCCCAAGGCCACGCAATGTTCTGCCCCGACTTGTACCAATTCTTCCACTTGGTTACAAAGGAAATGAATTTCGCAACGAGTGTATAATCGCAACGAAACGGCGGATTCCTTTTCATTCAAGTGTGCAACTTGTCATCACGGCGACGATTTATGAGACGAGGCATAATTTGAAAAGGACGCAGAGAAAAATTTTATGCCGTTTCCTATCTGTAATTAATTCGATTTTATTAATTCCAATTAGCTAAAATTACGAATCGAAATTCATAGATCAATTTATCTATTTTTCCCTTTCTTCAATTCAATCAATGTTACACACACATTTTTTTCAAAATCAAAATTATGAACAATTCCAAGAATTTGCTTAATATCTTTCCTCTATCATTGTTTCTCTTTTCTTCTTCATCTACATTTGAACTTTGACCTCAGATCTTTGAACCCACGACTCATGATAATATCAAAATAATTAATTACGAATATAAATAGAAAATCCGACTGTACTGTCTATATCTGTCAGCATTTAAAGAAAAAATAATCTTAATTTGATTTATTAATCACTTTAATCAATATACGAATCGTATAAAAATAAAAACGAAACATTTTCTCGCAATATTTAACAGGTAATTAAGAGATGTAATTAGAGACAATGTCCGTCAATAATCCGTGAAAAAAATTCGTGAACTGCGTTGGCCACCTTGCGCTCTAACTCATCGAAGATTACAGCTGAATCTGTCCAAGTGTATTTTAACATTTCGATCGGCTCGAAAGTTTTATTTATAGTCCCTGTCTCGTTAACGACACCATCTTTCGTGGCGTGTTTTCACGTACGATCGACGTGGAAATTTTCGTACTTGAAACGAAGGATTGATGATGCGTTTCCAACCCCTTCCGATTCACCAAGTGTTTCCCACCGTCACGGTGTGAAGTATCCGCATTATGTACTTCTCATTATTTTTAAACGTGTCTCACACCTCTCGTGTGCGAGAAAATTTCTATTTCTATATAACAAATGAAGTGGTTCCTTACTGCTGGTAGATTTATTATCTGTACATACATACGCGTTATTAAGTTAGAATATAATAAGGTGTGTACACGTATTATATATATATATATACATATTTTACATTTTGCACAAGAGCAAACCGATGTCCTCGACGAGTGTATAGTAATTAGACGGTGCAAACTCGTCGATACGACGATTATGATGATACACGTTATTATATATAAAGAGTAAGTTTTCTTCGACCATATTCAGGAATAAATTTTTCTTCTTCGATAACGTGTAAGAATGATGAATGGTTGATTAATGGGAGATAATATTTTTTATCGGGTGTCGTTGGGTGACAGGTTGGTCGCAATATTTCACCGTTGATTGCTATAAAGTGTGGTTGGTGAACAGATATTACTGATGATATATTCGTTACTCCGTTTAGAAATTAATATAGCAGAATCACGTTCATAGATATTGTTGGCAAAAATAATTTTATTCACAACAGAGTGATGGTTTAGGTTATTTGAAACGTTTCGTAGACGTTTGTGACGATCAATTTAATTTTTTTGTAAATTATCTATGTTTGTTTGGAGGGAATTGCAAAATATGATTGCAAAAAGTATTATTTTTATAAGATAAAGGAAATCATTGAATTATTGTCTTTGGACAAAGAAAAGATGTCTTTGGACAAGATAAGTCTTAAGAAAAAAAAAATACATTTATTTAAAAAAGCTTGTAACGAGAAATTTAATATTTCAGAGATCCTCAGAGAAACTTTTCACTTGAATATATATATATATATATATCGCTAAAAATAGCAAATATATAATATAATTTCGAAATTTTTATTAAATTTTCCTATGAAACGTTTCAAACAATCTAATATTAGTTTATCACAAAAAAAATTTAAATTTAAAAGTAGCCAAAGTAGGAAGAACAAACGTTTCCATTTTTTTGGAATACTTGACAAATTTGCCATCGTAAACATGAAATCCTATATTACTTTTATGAACACAATTTGCTGGACACCTGCAAATTCTACCTTGGTTGACTCCATTTTGGGCGAAAACCGCTTCGTGATGAAAAATATTGCATAAACTTGGTTCAAAGTTCTGCTATTTTAGTTTCGCCTTTATATGTACATATATATATATACATATTTCCCAGAAGGTTTTGACACACGTTGACTCTGGCACGGCTTACAAAATTTCATGGTCGAATGTTTAAGGGGTTGATTTATGCCTATAGTAACTTACTCGCTGCTTGTCGAAATTGTCAGGAATAAAACTGCTATAAATTGTTTAATAATGTTGGGATGTAATATATTATTCGTTGATTTTGTTAATGCCACTTTAAATGATGGACAGCTGTTCGTGGAGATAGAATTGTTGAAGAGAGAGAAAGAGAGAGAGAAGTGGGAGTGCATTTAAAACATTTCGTTTTATAAAATATTTCGAGAAAAAAAAAAAATGAGCGATTTTATTTCCTGATTTTATTGAGGCAAGAATGGAAGAACAATGCGAAATGTTTAATTAATGTTATACGTGAATATTTGATACTCGATTCATAAATTTTGATTAAAAAAATATTAATACGATTCATTTTGAAAATTTATGCATCATTAAAATGATACTTTGTATGTTCAAAATTGTATGCTATTGCATTGTATCGAGTATACGATTTATTTAAACTTGGTTCTCTTCGATTGACTGCTTGCAAGGCAAGATAAATTCTTCGTAATCTATGAAAATATTACATAACTCGTAATAATAGGATGCAATTTATTTTAATATGAATCATGCAAACAAAGATAAAAAATAAATGGATGGAAAAAGAAGAGATTCGATTTTTTTTTTTCAGATTTCGAGGCAAATTCTTTTTTGAACGTTTACAACGAATACATCGAATGGCAAACAGTTAATAATTGATGCATTGAATATTTTCTCGCTTCAGTTTTGAACCATTCAATCAATTTTGTAACACTTCAATATGGGGATAAAACGGAATGTTGTAGAACAATTTTATCGAAAAAACCAAATTTTGATATATTTGATTTTTCCAGAAAAAATCTAGTTTAAAAAATTTAACAATATATTGTTAATAATATGATATCTTAAGCTTTACTAAAAGGAAATGAAAAGAAAATATTATTTAAAATTATTTTTAATTTTTTTGATAAAGTTTTAATTTCTTATTTTAATTTATCCATTTTTTATTACATAATATCAACAAGAAATATCCATTTTATTAATATGCAAAGAGTTCTTCGTTCATTCGTTATTCAAGAAGCTTTACCTCTGACGTAATGCAGCTTTACATTAATCAAAAGTAGTGGAAATATTCTTGGTTTTTCTTGGTTTTCTTATCATTAAAACACCTCTATTATTATTATTATTTTTTAATATACCAAATCTTTGAAATTATCTTACACGAAGAAAATTCTACAAACTTTATTGATTATTTCAAAATATAAGAAGAAAATCAAAGAAAATTAAAGTTTTTTTTTCAATAAAAAATAAATTAAATCTGATTTCAAACAACAAACCAATTCTACAAACCGATTAAACTTAAAGAATTTCTAGGCCTTCAAATGTTTCAATATTATATTAAAAAATGAAAAAAAAGAAAATGTTACGCAATACTACATTTTAATTAAGGACGACAAACATAGCACAAATTGTTAAATAAAATATATGGACATTTCCTTTTATCTTATCCCTCACGTATGTAAATTCTTTCCACGTATGTGCCACTTATCACGATACCGTTATTAATTTATCGCTACGAGAATTTCGAAAATCGTTTCTGGACATATACAACCGGTCAAACTCGTTAACCAAAAGCGTTTTTTGGTGTATTAGAACTCGGCAAATCGTTTTTCCATTCACATCAGAGTTGTACAAAGAAAGAGAGAGAGAGAGAGAGAGAAATACACGCGTGCAGGCAGGGCACGTAACGACAAAAGGAAGACGATTTAAATGCTTTAGGCATACGTCTGGGCAGAATGAGTGTGCGTGACCTGCCAATTGTTGCCTCCAATCGTTCGTAGAGGGCTCTTGAAGCGTGTTTTTTGTTAATGGCGCTCGTCGAATCTCGTTACACATTAAATGTCTCGTGCTGAGTTTTCTTTCTTTCGATGTCGATAACAGTTCGAAATAATTAGCCCAATTTTATTATACTGTCCTGTGTAACATTCGCAATTTTATCGAGATTAACTTTAAATCGATTCCTCCACTTTGAGTTTCAGCTTGACTCGGCTTAATCGTATCCTTGTTCAACGCGAGATTTTATAACGCTTTATTTATTCACGGATCAAATTGAAATTCTTGCAGCGGAGGTAGATGGAAATTTGATTTTTAGAAAGTTGAAGAATGAAAAACGTCGCGGGATTTCGAAACCTCGGAATGTTACTTCGGAGAGAATCAAAATTTTGATACACTTGTATTTTGGAAATCTTGAAATTTACATTCATCACTTATAATTAAATTTCTGACTTGTAAAAAATTTTAATTTTTCATATTTCCTTTTACATTTCCTTTTACAAGCTATTGTAAAATCGATGCGATGAACCAGTGAAAACGAATTTAAATTTTAAATACGAATTATTAATTTTATTAATTGAATAAACATTCCGATATTTACCCAAAAATATTCTACGTCTTTTGATTTTGAATCACAAAAAAATAGAAAAGAGTTTCCCTAAGTTAAATTATAATAAGAAAGTTTGGATACCTCGAAGATTTATTCCATCTCAGAAATAAATCGACTCGAGCTGCAACTCTTACAAAATTGACGATCATTCGATCATTTCACCTCTGAACAAAGCTTTTTTAATCTGAATTTTCTAAAAGGGATGATCACGAAATTAAATACCACTTTATTAGTTACCTTATATTATACATCCATACAGAATTTTTTCTCTAAGATAGAATACAAATAGATTTTACTTGATTAGGATGGTAAACCAGTATTTTGATGCACAAAAACTTTTGTTATCGCGATCAATACCGCGATACCAAAGGTATTATAATAATAGAACAATTTGTGGGATCTCTTTGGGATGGAGCCAAAGTCAGTCATAGGTATATATGCATATTTTTGCCTGGAGTAAGGGGAAAACGTGTCGTCGCTGTCTTTAAATTAAAAAAAAAAAAAAAAAAAGAAGGAGAGCTCTGTACACAAGTAAAGTGTATACAGTTGGTTTAGATAGTCACTCGTCGTTTTTAAGTAGATCGTCCACCGAGCGCAGTTAGTTAAAATGTCTCACACACGAAGCATCTCACGCGATCTTTCAGATTATTAAAAAAAAAAAAAAAAAAAAAAGGGAAAAAAAGAAGAAAAAAAAAAAAAAGAAAAAAAAAAGAAAGAATGCCGTACCCGTTTTAGTGTACTCCTGAATCGTTCGACCGTTATCGTGAAGCTATCGTTTAAGTGTCAACGTGTAAAGGTACCTTTTTATGGGCTTTTACCACTGCTGCTGTTGCTGTATTTGGCCGTGAGACAAAATAAGGAACCGAAAAGAAACCACGAAATGCGGCTTTCGATACGCTCGATGCGACGACCATTTGCTCGTCCAGGCATCGCGTCGTTTTTTAGAAAATATTATTACGAAAGAAAGAATTGTGCGTGTGCGAAACACACGCGCTTGATCGAGTATGCATCACCTTCTTCTTGATTCTTGAGCGAAAAGGAAAAATAATTTCCTCGACGTGCGAACAAACAAACTTGTTGCAACAATTTGTAACTTTAAGGCGCGAATCCAATTGATCGACGAGTTTTCTCTTCTAAGAATTATTTCAATCGTTAATGGACACTGCATTGAGAATTGGAAATTACCTCTTGGACGACCGACTCACTGTCCACGAGTAGCAAAAAGAAATATATTGCAATTTTATTCCAATTTTATTCGTGAGATAATGGATTCGCATCCTTGGAAGGGACAAGAAAAAAAAAAAAAAAAAAAAGAAAAAAAGAAACGCGACACCGTTGCATTCACCGATCGCTGAAACCAGCCTTTTAGTGAAAATACAATAAATAATTATATAATACCAGTTTTCAAAGCAATAATTAAATGGCAAAGGGGCGTATGTTGACTCGTATCGTTTTTTTTTTTTTTTTTTTCTCCAAAGACTCACATTTCGCCGTTTCTTTTCGATTCGCAGCTATTACACATGTTTCGCCCGTAAGGATGTACCTACAAATTAAATGAATATAAATATTTATATATATATATATGGATAAATATAAATATAAATAAATAAGTAAATCTATATATATATATATAAAAATACAATGAGAGAGAAATAATAAAGAATCTAAATGCGGATCGAAGTCGCCGAATTATTTCGAGGTACGCTGCAATTCGGCCTCTTTGACGTTTAATGATCCGAGACAATACGGGTCAATTGTATATGTATAAATATAGGATAATATTATCGAATCATGAACCGGAAATAAGAGAGAAAAAAAAAAAAACGTGGCTAAGTCTGTCTGTGAATAATAATAATAATAATATCAAGTATGTAAACAAAGATGTGTTTTAGGCTATTTGTATTTAAACTAATTTGAGCTGATTGTTTACGTATCCTCCCCCCCCCCCGGTACTTACGAGTGATTATACGATAAATACAAATAAATTAATTAAAATAGTTAATCGATCCGTGTTTTTTTCTATTTCTGCACAATGCATTCGCGCAGGAAATGCATCGTTTAATGTTTCTCGATCTCGAGGTAAGTGTTATAAAATTATACGTAATATGTAAGATAAACTTGAAATTTTTTTCTCGCACGTTATTGCATGGAATTATAATATGCATGGAAGGCACACCTTATTATTAGCAATGTTAAATTAAGTATTATTTAATTGTAGGTTATATCTATTCGTATTATTAATTATCTTGTCATAATGTTGTTCTACATTTGCTTAGAGGCTTTGCTTAGACGTATCATTTATCTTCACCTTGATTCTCATTCCGCAAGAAAGATTGGTTCTTTAATAAATATCACCCTTTTTATATTACGAGCAGTTTAATTAGATAACCAAGATAAGAATTGCTTTCAGCTAGCTCGCGTCTTAAATTGGATTAATTAGATTCTCCTCGTTGTCAAAAAGGAACTATTTAGATAATACGTGAATGGGTAATAATTTCGATTATTGTGATTTATTCATAGATTCACGATATAGGAAATAAGATATTAAAACGAGGTATTAATTTTTAATTAATATGGATACAAACGTAAATTATTTTGAAAAAGTGTCTTGTATAATAGGAGGGAGGAAAAAAGTGAAATGGAAAAAGTTGGATGAAATTATTTTGAATTTTTTTTTTTTCTTTAATCAACCTTGATATTTATTTTTACAATTTAATTATATCACTTGCTTTAGCATCTATATTATAAATATATATATCTGTATTTGATGGATCTTCAATTTGATTTTTTATATACGAAATATCTATAATGAAAAAAGTTTTATCTCACATTTTTAATTGGTTTTTTCATTCTATCCTTAATTATGCAATACTCTTTGTTGAAATACATAGAATTCAATATTATTATTTACATATAAATTAACCTAACAACTCTTTAATTTAATTCCAATTATTTTTCCAATGATTTTGTAAAAGCAGATAAATAAACTAAATAGAAAAATATATTACATCTAAGCAATTAATATAAAATATGTATAATTATTGAAATATCATAAATAGATTTATTTTCTAACATTAATCTCAATGATAATCTAAGATAATCTCTAAGAATCTTTCAAATTCATTTATAATTTAAAAAAAAAAAAAAGAAAAAGAAAAACAAGACACATTTCTATATTCATGAAATTTACATAACTTCTACTTGAACTTTCTTTCATCAAAGAAAACCCTTACATTTACGCTTAAATTGGCAAGGATAAAGAGAAACGTCGAACATTTCCAGGTTCGTTTGAAGTGGCTAAACAATTCGAAGACAAGCTTTCCAATTACTAGGAGGGGTCCGCGATTCTTCGAGGAGAGAAGGTGTATTCCGACGGTGTATTTCATCGGCCTCCCGTTCAATAACGGTATTAAACGGTGTCCCACGTTTGAATGGCGCGCAATTATTGTTTTAAACGTATGCTTCCCCGAG